CGAAGAACATGGAGGGTTTGGGAGCGGCGGGCGAGCCGGGCTGGATGGACGAGGGGTTGTTGAGGTCGGAGAAGAGGGTCGGGGAGAGGAGGGGCGAGCTGAAGGAGAGGAGGTAGAGGGCGATGAAGAAGATTTCGTTCATGGCGCAGAGGGTGAAGAGGACTTTCTGTGGGGGGTGTTAGCATATGCTTTGTGATGACTGTGCTACACACGAGATTCCAGTTGAAGTAACGTACGTTGTTGGAGTAGTACTGCTTCAACAACCAACTCCTGCTCTCATTTACATTCTTGTGGCTCTGTCCGCTACCGCCCATGCTCAGCGTCGCGTACATGTGCATGTAGTGGCTAGCCAAGTCGAGGGAGATGAGGCCCTGGAAGACGATGCTGAAGCGCGGGAAAGCCTGCGCCAGGAAAACGAGCAGACATGTTGTTGTACACCTGTCCGTCACCATGTCGAGCACAGCTCCAAACTTGGTGCTCTGTTCGTAGGCCCGCGCGGCGTATCCGTCGAGCGCATCAAGCAGGCAGGATATGCTGTAGAGGAGGGTGCATGTGCGTGGGTGGAGGGGCATGTAGTAGAGCGAGATCAGGGCGAGGAAGACGCGCGAGTAGCCTGTGGGAATGTTAGCTCGTGTATGGTGATATGGAAAGGACGCGCCTACCGATCAAGTTTGGGATGAAGAGGAATATGTTCTCGTACGCGCTCTCCTTCTCAGCCTGTGCTGGCCGTACCGCGGCGCCGTTGCCGTTGGCTTGTGTTTGTACTGATGCCATGGTGGTCGAGATGGCGTCCGATTTGTCTTCCCGATTATCCTCAATGGAGACACTCGCTATAGCTGCGTGTCTTTGTATACACGTGTACCCCGCTGCGCTTACTGCAGAGAGTGGAGGCTCGTATGCGCGCTCTGCTGATGCTCAGAGCGCTAGGCAGCAGGTGCTCGTATGGGATGACGTGCAGCGAAGTAAAGTCCAGCGCTGGGCGTGAACGGACGGAATCGTTCGGAACGGGCGTACTGAGTGCCAACAAAACGCTTTGTCGGGCTTGCAATAGCTGTTGAAGCTGTGCGGGTCCAGACCAGAAAGTTGTCGAATGAGCCGCCGATAAGCCGAGCTGATAACGAAACCCTGTCGCGAATGCAGGTGCTTGGTAGTACGGCTGCCAAAAAAGTAAGACCGAGATGGACAAGAAGGCGGAGTAAGAGGTGTTGGAAGGAGCGTACGTGTCAAGAAACTGGTGGAAGCAAAAGTAGTTGTGCCTGGAAATTGAGGAACCATAAATCTGCCATGTTCGTCCGCCAGCTCCCGGTTACCCGCCTAGACCGGAAAGGGGGTGGGCTTGGCATATGAGGTCAATCGCACATCAGTTCCGTCACCGGACCAAACGGACCATGTACCCTCATCAGCAATGGACATTGTGAAATTCTGGTTATTGTTTTCACACCATCTGCCAGGTCTTGCTGCTGACGGTAGTCTCTCATGTTTCATGCAGAAAGGCAATACAACAGCGGGGAAGTCTTCAATGAGACTCTGCTTGCGTAAAGACCTACGAATTTGTCTACGTATTCGTCAAGCCTGTTCATGTACTTTTGTACCTCGCACTATCCATGTACCTTGAGAGGCAATTAATCGATAAATCGTGATCAGAGGTATCATTAAGCTATGTAACCACTCCTGAACGAACCGCCTACTCTTTGAAGCCCTTGAACGACCCGGTCTTCGCGGCGATCTTCTTCGACTTAGCCTTCTGGTGAGCCTGCTTCTCCTTCGCTTTGCCGGTACTGAGACCACGATCCGCCTTGCCCTTCTTCCATACCTTGCCTTCTGATCGGACGTCGTTCATCTCGAGCTTCTTGCGGTCTTTGCCACTGAGCTTCTTCCCCTTCTTAGCCTTCAAGGCTGCTCCGGCAGATTGGGAAGATCCGTTTAGTGCAGCAGCACCCTTCTCCTTCTCTGCCAGCTTGTCCTTCTCGGACTCGAACCATGTGCGCCTTGGCCGAGACTTGATCTCATCTTCGTGCTGGATCAGGTTCTCACCTCGCTTGAGGTCGCGCTCTGTGACGCTCATGGCACGCTCCTCTTTCTCTTCGGCGAGGACCTCCTCAATCTCGCCTTCAAGATCCTTGATCTTCTTCATCCACCTGTCGGTTTCTTCTACGGGTACTTGTCGACTGACAACCTTGGCGCCTTGGTCGCGCGAAGCCTTGACGGCCTGCTTGACAACTTTGCGGTCAGGTTCTGCGGCAAGCGTACAGGCACGACCACTTCGTCCTGCACGGGCGGTACGACCAACACGATGCATGTAGATATCGTGACTTTGCGGTGCTTCGTAGTTGATGACTACCGCGACGTTCTTGATATCAAGACCACGCGAGGCGACATCTGTAGCCAATAAATACGCCGACTTGCCGGATCGGAAAGCCTCTACGGATTGAATACGCTGTAACTGTTAGTGTCGCATCAAACGTCAAGTATGGTTAAGTTGCTTACCTGTTCTTGGCTCATGTTACCATGGAGCTCACTAGCCTTGAGCCCACAGAGAGCGAATACAACGCGCACCCTATGCGCTTCCTTCTTTTGCCTGAAGAAGATGATGACCTTCTCTGTGTAGATCTTTTCACAGATGTACATCAAATACGCAAGCCTCTTGTCTTCCTTGCCCTGCCTCAATCGCACAAACTCTTGCGTAAGACCCGCTACAGTATGCTTCTTCGCATCAACCATCAGGCGTACGGGCTTGTCCATACCGATACGGATAAGCTTGTCGACTGAGCTCGTCATGGTAGCAGAGAACAACATAGTCTGTCGTGATTTCGGAATAGTCGTCAGGATCTCGTTCAGTTGGCTCTCGAAACCCTCTTCGAGCATACGATCGGCCTCATCGAGAACAAGAATTTCGAGATGTTCAACCTGGAAGGCAGCTGTGTTGTGCATGTGATCGATGAAACGACCAGGTGTCGCAATCACAACATCTGGTCGTGTCTTCAACACGGCCTCTTGGTCTCGCGTTGAGAATCCACCAGCCATCAGTGCGAAAGTGATATCGGTGAATGAGGCAAGCTTGGTCGCGACGTTGAAACATTGTACCGCCAACTCACGAGTAGGCATGAAGATGGCGACACGAGTGGTTGGAACCTTCTTTGGCCGGTAGAGCAGACGTTCGAGGATAGGAATGAGGAAAGCGGCCGTTTTACCAGAACCAGTCTCGGCTCCTCCAACAACGTCCTTGCCTTGCATCGCAATCGGAACTGCTTTGTTCTGGATAGGCGTGGGTTCGGTGAAGCCAACAGATGCCAAACCTCGTAGAATAGGTCGTGAAAGCGACATGGCTTGGAAAGAACCAGTACCACCTTTGGCTCCCTTTTTCTTCTTGATCTGCACGCTGTCTTCGGGCGCGAAGAAAGCGGCTGCCTTCTTCGCCTCGACGGCGTCCTCTTCCTCGCTTTGGTCTTCATGGTCGGTGTCGGCGCCCTCAAGATCCATGGGATGTGGTACGTGCGGTACTTCTGCTTCGTCGTCTGAGTCGCCCTCCTCTTCGCTTCCACTACCCTCATCCCCTGAAGCCTCCTCCTCGTCCTCCTGGTCGTCCTCTGAGTCGCTTGCTGCGCCCATGCCGAACCCGTCTTCGGCCATGAGCTCGTCGTCCTCGCCGAAACCTTCAAAGTCGCCATTGACAGAAGCCTCGGGCGACTCTGTTTCTATGACTACTTGTGCGCTCTTCTTATTCCGTCTCCGCTCGATAATGTCGTCGACATCGACTGCGGTGCCTTTCTTCTGCGACTCCTGAGCCACTGTGCCATTATCGTTGCCCCAGCCGTCAAATTCCTCCACAAAGCCAGTGTCTATGTCGCCGACCGCGAATTCGAAGTCGCTGGCAATGTCGTCATTCTGTTCGACATCTTCGGTGGGTTCTGGCATGGCGTTGTCATCTTCTTCGATTTCTGGAGCAGGATCGGCTCCTTTCTTTCCCTTCTTCTTGTCCTTCTTCGCTTTCTTCGACGCGACTTCTTTCGGCTTAACGTGGAGGTCTGGGTCTTCAGTGTATTTCCTCTTCTTTCCAGCGCCAGCTAGTTTGGCCGTTGCTGCAGCCTCGTCGGCACCACCGTCGTCGGATACATCGTCGTGATCAGAGATGGTGAAAATGAAGTCGTCATCCTTAGGCGCCATGGTTATCGTGTGACGAAACCTCGTGTACTAGGGTAATTGCAGAGATAGTTGAGCGTTCTGCGTTTACAAGCGTCGCAGAAAAAGTTCGGGCTCGGGGGATCTGTGCTCAGCGCACCCCTGCAGTCTAAAAGTGGGGTCGCGGCAACCGTCGCGACTGCGAACAGCTTAGTTCTCCGAGTCGTGGCAAACATCACCCCGAAGTCTACATCATCTCAGATACTGTTAAGTTACTAATTGTCAATGATGTGTATGCAGCAAGATGCACACAAAATGTAGCCACCAGGATGCTCGCTAGCGCGTTGATAGCGCGTTGACAGCCTACCAGGCATCAGAGACGTTTGCGGCAAACGAACATCGCCCAATGACGACTGACGAAATGCGCCAATAGATGTCACCAGATCTCACACTGAATTGAGGCCGCTCTCTTATGTGATATTGCATAGATCCTGATATTATACTGCTTACTACTGCGAGTCTTCAGCCAATGACCCATCTGCTGGGCACTACACCTACAGATCTGTCTGACTTCAATCATCCACGGTACTAGCTTCCAGGTCTCAGGCTACAACCTTCCTATCAAGCGATTACGAAGTTTACCGTGAGTCACCGCCTGCCAGTTGAAGGTAACCAGGCATCCATAGCGCCTTCCGGTTTCATACCGTAACTCGACGTCAGCTGCAGCCTCAGCCTGATATATCTAGCCTTGTCAGTCACACTTCGGTTGAGGCTCCTTCTATACCGCGCTTCCGAGGTCTTCACTCTTTGATCTAATTTACTTGGTCGCTGGATCACCACTAATCGACACCGTACCACCTCACTGACCACCTCACTCCACCATGCGTCGAGTGCCACGAACAGCAGCCCCACCCACTGCAACCACCCGAGTCCTACGCTCGCAAACTAAACAAGCAGCCTCAGAAGCCCAGGCCACCAAGGTCACCAAGCCCACCAGGAAGCGTCGCCCACGTGCAGATCCCTGGGCGAAGAAGCGCAAACCAAACCCCAACCCCAGACCGCGCAAGCCACCGCCCACCCACTTCACATGCCGCATCTGCATCGAAGAGCAGGCCACCGATGAGTTCGTCAAATGGGTACCCCCGAAGCGCGGCCGCTGGCAGCAACACCTAGACGTCCCCTTCAACTGCATCGCCCACCTAGCCCGGAACCCCAGCAAACGCAAAATCGACCCCGTCTGCAAGACATGTATCGGCAACTTCCTCTCCGCAAAGATGGACACGCTCGGCGTACGCCAACTCGGCGCCGGCTGTCTAGAGCCCGGTTGTACGGAGCCCTGGGACCACCACTTCATCCTGCGCTACATGCCTCCCGGTGACGCGCTCGAGAAGTTCAACATGGAAATGTTGGAAGTGTGGAAAGAAACTGCGAGTCCCAAGCCGATGACCTGTCTCTCACCTACATGCACTGCGATCGGTCTGCCAGATGCGACAGCGGCTGGATACCCGCAAGTCGCGTGCAACGACTGTGCTTTCCGGTCTTGCGCCCAGTGTCTTGTCCCGTGGCACAAGGACGTTACGTGTGCGGAGTATGCGGCGAAGCATGTGGATGAGAAGATGAGTGACGCCGAGAAAGAAACGCTCAAGTATATGCAGGGTAAAGATGGAAAGAGGTGTCCGAATTGCCAGTTGGTTATCGAGAAAGATGGTGGATGTGATAGCATGGTAAGACCCGTCTTACCCCTCACATATATGTCACTTTGCTAATTTTACGATCAGTTCTGCGTTGGATGCCACAAATACTTCAACTGGGCAAGTGCCGCTTCAGCGTTGACTGGCGCTAAGAAAGCCGAAGCTCCTTACATCCGCGACATGCCGTACTGGCTTCACGATGGTATGGTTGTGTGCGAGATGGACGGTATCAATGGACTGGACGGTACTACTGGCGCGGTTGCTGCGGCGTCGGACAGCATGGTTGAGGGATGATGTGCGATATTGAACTGGCGAGGTTATGACTGTTATGATTACGAAGGAATATGCCTTATTTACATGTTATGTACTTGCGACATGGGTCCCGGCATGAAGTGGATTGGGGTTGGTCATGTGTTGTTAATGTCCAACCGGATCTCATAGAAGAACTTCAGCACATCACAATCACTCATACCCAATGATACCATCGATGGATCTGCCAGAGCACTTAGGCCCCAAATGGTGTAGATTTTTGGTTGTACAGAGTTTGCGTATTAGTTACAGAATCCCAGCTCGCAGCCACGAGTTCCTCTCTTTCCCGGTGTTTGTAAAGCAAATTGATCGCTCCCCTCGCTCTCTGAGACTCCAATCGCGCGGAGACGAATACCACCTGTCCCGCTCGTCGTGAAACGCCATGTGAATGCATTTTGAACGCCAACCAACGCCAACTGCAGAATGGGGGGTGATGCATTATGGTAAAAGTGGGTGATCAAACCTTCTTGTAGTGTTTTTGTGACGCGCTCTTCGGCGGTCTTTTCCTACTTTTTTTTCTGGTTTTGTTTGTTAGAGGCCCTCGGATGTACTGATACGCACCTGCACCTGATGCGGCGTCGGATCGCAAGTCCGGAGGCGGCTCTAGTTGATCGATAAGACCTGAGTAATCAGGCAGGCAGGTTGCTAACGAGCCGTACCTTAGTCGGCGCGTGAGGAAGCCGCCGGAACTGAAGAGAACAAGAATGTCAGAAACCCCAAGAATATCAAGTGAATGATGGAGAGTGTAGAAAAAGCGAACATATGCTAGCTTAGCTGAAAGCGAACTTATGCTGCCGCTGGAGTAGCGACTCCATTGGTAGCCAGTTCGGCCTGTCGACGCTTTGCTGCCGAATGCTCGCTGTCCTGTATTAGCACAATCGTCAGCATAATGGCGTATGGTTACTCTCGGGACGCGGGTGAGCGTCGAGAGGATTTGGTAAGGCGTGAGTCACGCACGTCAATGCCTGTATCGGCGAAGTGGCGCTTAGCACTTTTCGCGTCCTTCTTCTTCTTGTCTTTGCTAGACTTCTTCGGTCGGGTCTCTCCTTTGACGAAGACATCATCGGGAAGCGCAGTGCTGACAAGTTAGCAATTGTCTAAACATGGATGAGCGGTATACTTACTTGCGCGTATGGACCACCTTAACCGACATCACTTTGTCATCGTAAAGGTCCGAGTCGGTGATGAAGCTCCTAAATTGGCTCACTGGGTAGGAGATGTCGAGCGACTTGGTAGCATCTACACGCCGAGTTAGCTGTGCTATGTGATGCATAACAAAGTATACGAACCTGGAGGCAAAGTAAGACCAATATAGAACGTCGTCGTATAAATGATGTGCGTCTCGCCGTTCGCTGGCTCAGTACCTTCGGCAGGAACTTCGGATGCCGGAATCATGTACTCGAGAGAACCTTGCGTGACCTCATGGAACTGATCGTCTTTGCAGCGGTGGAAGCGTTCAAAGTAGTGAATGTACGGGCGGGCGGTGTCGATGCCCGTTTGTCCATCGTCGATGCCTTTGACGATATGACGGATTTTCGACTGTACCAGTCCGGAGAAGGTCGAGTTGGCTTCCTTAGTCCGACTCGCGGCGACGACACTGAGGTAGTATTTGTGGTCTTTGGTAAAGAAGGAGTGGCGCTCGAAGAGTGAATCCCAGTCCTTGGCGCCCGAGAAGATATGCTGTAGGATCTTGTCCGCTCGCCCGAACTCCTCCTTCATGATTCGCAGCGTCGATGGCATCACCGTATGTGTAGCGCACATGGAAGGAAAGGCGGGTGTGATGATGGGCATGAGGTGGGCGCGATCGCCGCCGTAGACCTGTGGGTTCCACACTCGGAGACCCAAGTCGCCCTCCTCGATGTGCTTTAGCATAACAGGTCGCGGCCAGGTCCATTTGTACATCAAGCTGAAGAACTTGGAAACGATAGTAGCGCCGTTGGCCATGGGATACAGCTGACAGATGCGCGCAACCATGATAGCCCACGCAACTCCGCCAGGGTATCCGAAGACTGCACCGTAGATGCCGCGGCGGTTTGACCAGAGTTTGATGGCCCTCAGCGCGTGTCGAAAGCTGACCTTTTGCGGCACCGCATCCAAGAGTTCGTTGGTGACTCGTGTGCCGTTCACACTCCGTGTTGCCGACTCGCCGAGACCTTCCAAATCCTTCTTCTCGATCGTCTCCATTGTTCTTGGTATCGACGATCTCTTCGGCAAGGACGCGAATAGCAGGTCTATGCTCACACCGCGATATTCCATCTTGATAATAGGGACAAAGGCATCTTCGACGGGCACGAATTCGGTGATGTCTTCGGCCTTGGACATCTCTCTGAAGGTCGGAGGGAAGTTTTTGAAGAATTCGTCGATGGTCACGAACTTGGGCGCGACAACGAGTGTATCGATATCCGACGTGGGACCGTGAACGCCGAGGGCGTAACTACCGAAGGTGAAGATCTTGCCGCCGGCGGCATCGAGGACAGGCTGCTGCACACCCTTCTGTTTGCCGACGCGACGGACAAACTCTTCGACGACCTTCTGAATGTGGTCGATGACCTCCTCCCTGCGAAGATTAGCTTGGCGCGACTACGTGTTCAGGGACTGCCGTACCTCCTGCGGTTGCCCTCGGGAGTCTCGAAGACATTCTCAGTCTTCAGCGTCTCGATGAGTTTGTCGTTTAGCCGGATATCGTGTTCAGTCGGCGCCGCCTCTGATATGGCGCTGGTGACTCCAAACTGCCGGGTGGGCTTCTTCTGGCCGTCCATGGTGAAGGGTGAGAGAATCGGGGTTGAAAGGGTCGCGCGACTTCGGGGGTGCTGCGGCGAGCTGGCGCGGAAGAAGTCGCAATCGGGCGCGTGTCGGGGTGGATTGTCGTGAGAGACGGCTGGGAAATGAGTGTAATAAGAGATTCAGCGCTCCCACATGGCGACGCGACCTTTCCCGAGTTGAAGTCTGGAAAGTGAATGCACAGCAATCAGAAGTCGAGGATGCATCCGTCTTTCGAGGAGCCCGTTGCCAAGCCGCTAGTGCGCCACTGTGGCTCATCTTAGAAGCGGCGGCATTCACCCGTCGCCATCGCAACAATGGCAAACCTTGCCAACTTAACATCACCATCGCCTAACATGGCGAGACAATTACCCTTGCATCTCTCCCACAAGAGTGCACTAGTGCTATTGCCTCCCGCTAATATCGCTGCACCTATCGAAGGCGTCCGACGCACGCACGACAAGAACTTCGAGCGATGGCCTGCGCATATAAACCTGCTATACCCTTTCCTATCGTCACCTTCTGAAACTAGCGGGCAAGGCGAGGACTCGCACTCGTCTCTCAAGCCTGACATACGTGTCCGTATCGCAAGAGCCGTTCAAGACATACGATCATTCCACATAACGCTCAATGCGGATCCACCCGGGTTCTTCAGCCACGGCAAAGGGGGCAGCAAAACAGTCTGGCTAGGTCCCACTACAGAAAATGTCCAACGGCTTCAAGCAGTTCTGCAACAGGAATTTGCTGAAGTAAATGCAGATCGACGGCCCTTCGTCCCTCACCTTTCTGTAGGACAGGTGAAGAGTGAGGTCCGCCTGGATGAACTCCGCACACTGATTAGAAAGAGAATAGCGGAACATGTGGATCACAGCCCAAATGATGAAGTTATGCCTGCAGCTTTGGACTGGCATGTTGATCAAGTATGTGTTATTCAACGTAATACCTACAATGATCGTTTCAAGGTAGTCGAGACTATCAAGCTGGGACAGCAGTAGCATCGTTTGCGAGATCAGTTCTTCGAAAAGAACTCCCGCATTTGGTCATCTAACCATTTCATGTCTTCGGTCGACTGCCCTGGTCCGCCGGCCCTAAGTTGCTTGTCAGCTTCAAATGTTCGATACATCCGGAGATACAAACCTACCAGTGGCCCCAGATAGAGGGAAAAACCTTCAATGTTCCCACGCCTGGCTTCATGTTCTGAACCTCAATTTCTGAATCTTCTGGTGGGAAATACAGATCTGTCTTCGCTGGCAGGACAAGTGTCTTCGCTTTGATACCCTTCATCGCTTTCTCAAAATCGCCATTATACGGTTCTTGCTGCGAGCAGTCACCAGCTTGCCATGTATGCGCCATGACCAGCATATTCTCTGGGTCTTTGGAGAGTGCCCAAGCTTCCCAGAAGTTGACAAGGAAGTCGTCCAGATTCTTGAATCCAAGCGTGGGTGCTGTCTCATACAGCTTCTCACGATAGAATGCTTGTGAGAAGCCCCAGCCAGCATAAACGCGTCCAAGAGCCTTCAATCCGACCTCTCGGTTCGAGGATGCGAATTGCACTGTTTTGCCTTGAGCAGCTAAAAGACTTGGCTTCGCAACTCCTGCTGAACTTGTTCCTATTGCAGCGTACAAGGCGCTCTTCACGCCTTCTAGGAAGACCTGGTTATGCAAGCTCGTCTTTGCACTTCCACAGAACGGTACCGCGAGGTCCATAAAGTCTGGGAACTGCGTAGCCCACTGGTACGTCTGTCCTGCACCCATGGACCAACCAAGGACTGCACGAGCATGCTTTACACCAAGATGTTTAGTGACGAGCTCATGCTGCGCTCTCACGTTGTCGTAAAACAGCACTTCTGGAAACGGGCGCAAATCTGGCATGTTGGATGGCGAAGACGATTGGCCATTGCCGAATAAAGCAGGCATGATGATGTAGTATTCAGAAGGGTTGAGTGTCTTGTCTGAGCCCGTCAGCCAGATATTGTCGGATATCGCTACATCATCGTATTAGCAGCTGCCCAGTAATGGGTGCCTGGGGCTACACATACTCCCAGAATACCATGTTGGATATATGATAGCAGGTAGCGACGGGTCACCTAAAGTCTTGTAGGCGATGAAAGCGTCTGGAATCTCTCCACCCGACTTGAGCTTGAAGTTGCCCAACTTGTAGGTTTGGTAATCATCGTTTGTAGACATGCTGGTCTCTAAAATGAAGGAATATAATGTTATTTAGGACAGCTATAGGAGCGAAGGTCCATTTATCATCATCCAGAGATATGCACAATCACGCTGCCTATCTATCATCACCATACCCCTCAGTTCCAGCTTCCGTGGTAGACCCTGCCACTAAGCTCTGGCATGGTTATCGTTTATGGCGGGGTAGCTGGGAGACATGGTGGGGTACATGACGTTGACAAACCCGTCCCTTGCGGCAAATCGCCGTGTGTACCCGTGAGAATGGCAATGGCCAAACCTTCTATACGGGCCAGGAACATATATCTTCTAGCAGCCTCAGTACGAATAGGAGTTTTTAATTCTAAGCGAGCTACCAAGATGCGTACAATGGCTGCTCAAAGAGCCTCGGTGGGTGTTCCGCGGCCGCCCTTGTGCAAGTGTAGATTCGGAATTATATCCGCTATTTGCCGTAGAGCACTTTTTTGCGCGATTGATCATCTTTTACTAAACGGCAGTTGCACCCATATTGACACCTGGATATAAAAGACATAGTTTCCGTGATCAACAGTTCCTAGGTACAGCACAATTCGCTCACCAACAATTCTCCCCCCAAGTCACAACACCCAAACTACAGACCTCATCATGGCAACCGGACGAGCAGATGCCGAAAAGGAAATAAAGCGCAACCCGCACGGCGACTTCAAGGCAGTCGAAGCCTCGCGCCCACCCTTCGACACAAGCTCCTCTTTCCACTACACGCAAACCCCGAAACCCAACTGGCAACCCGGTTCCGGTCCCAACGAACCTTCCAGCTTGCAAAAGGCGCACCGTTCGATCAACCCCTACGGAGAAGGCCGACCCGTAGTACACAACTACAAGCTGCTCATCTCCGCCATCGTCCCCCGCCCAATTGGCTTCGTCTCAACAATCAGCGCAGATGGAAAGAGCACGAACCTCGCTCCCTTCAGCTACTTCAACCTCGTGAACCACGACCCACCAATGTTCGTCCTTGGGTTCGCGGGTGGCATGGACAAGGCTAAGGACACGCTCAAAAACCTGGTTGATACCAAGGAAGCTGTTATCAATATCATTACGGAGGGGTATATCGAGGCGGCGAATTACACGAGCATCAATGCGCCGGCTGATGTGAGTGAATGGGCGTTCAGCGGGCTGCATGCCGAGAAGAGTAAGTTTGTCAAGCCGGATCGTGTCAAGGAGGCCGTGTTTAGTATTGAGGGAAAGCTGGTGAACACGGTGGAATGGACGAGTAAGAATCCTGCTACGCCGGATAAGAAGACGGGTGTTACTGCGTTTGTGGAGGGTGTCAACTTTTGGGTTCGGGAAGATGCTATTGATGAGCAGGGTGTGCTTGTTGATCCTGCTGTAAGTTACCGGTGTGAAGATTGTGGGTGTTGAAGGTTGCTAATGCTGGACAGGTTCTCAAGCCGATATCTAGGTTGGGCGGTATTACGTATGCGAGGTCGACCCAGGCGTTTGAGCTGCCGAGACCGGATTACGAGGACGTCACTAAGGATCCTGAGGTTGCGAAGTTGGCGCAGCCGAAGGGTAAAGGTCAGTAGGGAGTCTTGTCGAGGCCGGGCAACAGACATGTACTGTGTGCATGGAAAGAGGGAGGCGTATAGATCTAAAGGTATAGACGAGTGGATACATGGCCAATACAACAAGAGATCACTCAATGGGAAGACCGTCCTGTCGTTCGCAGCTCACAATTGTGTAGAAAAGAAGCAGAGGTATCATAACTAAAACTCGTCTACAAATTCGGATGTCGTTCCGCCTCATGCGGCACCATCATCCCTAGCCAAGGGCAGCCCAATGAAGAAATTTAAACGACCTGCCCTGTAAATCCCATCTCCTCTAATCCAACTTCAACCTTTCGTCCCAACGCTTACAAGGCCATGACACCGGCGAATGCGGCAGCAAAACCAGCGCCCATAACGCCGACTACGTTGGCCATGGCGGCACCGGTTCCAGTCGCAGACGCACTCGCACCTGTCGCGGACGCACCACTGGCACCAGCTCCAGTGGTAGTAGCAAGAGTGCCGTTCTCGCCGAGGATAGCCTGGTTGACAAGCCTCTGAACCTCTTGGTTGTACTTGTCGTAGTAGCTCTTCACATCGCTGGGGAGCGCGCTGTACCAGGCCGGTGTCTCGGAGAGGGTCTCGAGCGCGCCGACTTCGGTGACGCCGCTGGGAATCGAGTACGAAGCGGTAGCAACGAAGGATTTGAGACCATCATGAGCGGATTTGGCGGCAGCGAGGTTGGAGGCTTGGGTGAGGGATGCGAGGCCCGTCTCGACTACGTTCAACACGGACGAAGCGTAACCGTCGATCTTAATATCGTGGATCAGCATTGATTACACAAGGCAATGAGTGGGAAGACTAGAACATACATCTGTGAGAATGTTGAGGTTGGTGGGGAACGGCGTGGTGATGATAGCGAACTCTGCGACAGCAGTGCCAGCAACGGCAGTGAGGAGAGCGAGGTTCTTGAACTGCATGGTAACGGTAATTGCAAAGTTGTGGAGAACGTTGGTAAAGAACAGGTGAACAGTGCCGTCTAAAGTTGAAACTAGATCGAAGAATGCAGAAATAACGATTGACAGAAGCAAGAGCGAGGACCTAGGAGCAAAAGCGCGTGGGAGAGCAGGCAGCATCCACTTATGTATACTTGAATTTGTGCATCAACACCCGAACGCGTATACTCCGCCACGAAACTCGGCTCCAGCGCATGGGTAATAACGTCGTGTCAGCCCGTCATCTTCGCTGTCTTGCGCCATGCGTGAGTATTTTTGTTTTTAGTAACGAAAACCGTTGAGCGCCTTGCAGGTAAGCTGAAGATCTGTCGAACGGTCCCCAACATGATCGTCACGTCAACGCAAACCATCAATCGGGAGACCCACAAGCAAAGATCAACGACACGCGTTCGATGTGCAAACTGCAATGAGGGCCACAATCTCAGGGCGTTTCGGATGATATTCAGGGGGCGGTTATCTTGGATTCGGTGCCACGGGTGCGTGGATGTTTGGGGCGGCCTAGGCCTCGTTTAGAGTGGGTTGCATTAGGGCCCACTTTGGCCCCGAACAAGCTTTTTCCATCAATCGTCCCAATTAGCTGACAGCGAGGCCTCCCACTAGATCTATAAATACGCTTAGCACAATTTTATTTTAGCGAAGCTAAGGCTAAGGTTATCTATTTAATCTAGCTATAATCTAGCTATAAACATTATTCTACTCCTGCTAGGTATTAAAATACTTTATAGAAACCTAAGCTTTTAATAGTAGTAATAATACCTTTAGCTTACTTTTAAGCCTAAGATACTTTTTATATATTTAGCCTTTAAGTAAATAATATAAGTAAATTACTTATAACTATAGCTATATTATTAAGCTTATTAAAGAGCTCTAAAAAAAAGTAAGTAGTATAGAGAAATTAGATTTAACTATAGTTAAATTTTTTATATTAGAGTTTTTAGTAAGTATAGCTATACTAGAATAGGCTAGTATTATAATTATAGTAGGTAAAATAAGTAAGAGCTTATATATTAGCTACTAAGGTATAGCTAATATAGAGAGTAACTTTCTAAAGTTAGACCTAATACTATATAAGAAAGAGAGATTTAATATACTTATATAGCTATATTTATAGTAATCTATATTAGTAAAGGTTTATAAGCTAAAAATTTTAGCTTAAAATACTTAATAGAAGCTAGGCAGTAGTAGTAATATAACTAATAGTTGCCTTTAGTAGAGTACTAGTTTCTAGTAAAGAGAGCTAACGATAACCTTGGCGACAGCCTTGATGATTAGGGCCACGATTTCTTACGTCGTCTAATCGACCTCTCGTACAGCTGTCGTGGTTGTGATGCCTTCACCGCTGGACTTCTTTCCTGTGGTTTCGCGTTCTTCGCTGGAAGAAATGCTCTCGGCTTGCGCGCTGTGAGGGGGGCTGCTCTTGCTTTCTTTCCATCCTAGGAACGCGAAACCGATGATGACGACGAGCCAGTATAGGTTGTATGAGATGACGGAGCCGTAGGTCGCGCTGTTCTGCCAGCCGAAAAGAGAGTTGAAGATCCCCCAACTGAGCCGATGTTGTCAGCGAGAGAACATCTGAATGAGAGTATATCGACTTACCCGCCATCGCCGTTCTCCAATGGTGAGCAGCACTGTTATCGCAGTCAGTATAAGAAGTTCGGCGTCTGTCACAATATAGACCCACGTTTACGTGCCACACGCTCTTCCTGATATCGTAGCTACCCGGGCCGGCACCGGCTTCTGCAGCACCCTCGCCAGCGAGCTTGACCCAGGCATTCTGTTCGAGGTTCCAGACACCTTTGGAGAACAGACCCGCTGCAACCAGGTAAAGGAAGCACGTCGAGATGACGAGGAAGATTTGTAGAGAAGTCTTGTTGCCGCCCTTGTAGATGAGGAATCCGACCAAGGCACCCGCACCGAGACCACAGAGTACGGCGAGAGGGAAGCTAGTCGCTGGCGCACCGAGCCCAACACCTGCGATGAACCTGATGGACTGTTTAGCTCTACGATGTAGAGATAAGACTGAAGTAACTTACAGCACTGCTTCAATGCCTTCGCGAAGCACGGTAACGAAAGGCAGGATGAACATGGCGTACTTTTCCGACCATCGCTTCAACCTACCCTTGATGGGTAGTTTCGAATCCTTTTGCTCCAGAACCTTGGAGATCTTCACACGCCATTTGTCTTGAAGCTTGCTGACGCGGAGCAGGGCAGCTCCCATCATAGTGATGATGACACTTGCGAGGATTGCGAAAGCACCTTCCCATATGTTCTCTGCAGCTTCGAAGGCATTGCGACCAGCAGTGTAGAAGGTGCCAATGACGCCGGCGCAGATGACCAAGCAGATCAGAACACCAGCTCCGACGCCGTACCAGACCTGGCGGACGAGACGTTTGTGGACTGTCGCGTCATGTTCTGGGCCGAGAGTTTGCTTAAGAAAGGCGAGGAGCACGGAGACGATGATGCTCGTTTCCAGACACTCGCGGAAGCAAATGAAAAAGACTTGATCGGTGTTAGCAATGATGGCATGGTCTGCACCACAAAGTGGAAACCGACTGTCCTCGCATACATACCTGGCACAGCAAAGACGTTCGGCATCTTGAAAGACCTTGCGTAAAAGTTGCGTGGTTTGTTACCCTCACTGGGTGTTTGATAAAGAACAGAGGACGGATCTAATCAGATGGGTGGACATGCAGCGACTCCCGAAGCTGAGGGTGGCTAACACGCGCCTGCCGTTCGTGTCGATAGCGTTAGACAAGAGCCGAAGTTCGGGCATGCACCACGACCCTGCCTCTTAATTTGAGTTTCTCCCGGTATCACGACGGACCGATCATGCTTCAGCTTTGTGCTGCGTCGGCTGCGACTCCGACTGCGATATCTCTGGTTGTCGTCTCCTGTCGATAGGCAACTACACCCAATCTCAGTCCCATTTCTCCGCTCTGTTTGCGACGACAGATGCTCCAACACCCTCTCAAACCTCCGAGTTATCTGATCCGCACCTTCACATGCCCAGCACGCCAAATCCAATCAAGACTTCGTGGCGCGGACTAGTGCAGGCTTATTGGTCCTTCGGCGCCGTCGCTTACCCCAGACCCTGGCCGATCGAGGTCCAGATTATCAGATGGACCGATAACACCCGGTGAATGTCACCCCACAGCAAATCCAGCTCGACAAACTCGCTAGTCGTTACCCAAGACGTGGAAAATTCAATCTGATACTGGGATGATCAAACACGTCAGGCCGAGGTAAGTCTAGTTCGTGAGGGAAAAACACAGAAGCCCCGCTTTGCGACACTTTGTGGCCGCCTTCAGACCGTCGAGAACATGGGCTGATGATCTGATAACTCGGCGCCGAAGCATGGGGGCTTGAGATGGTGGAGGCTAAATGCTTGGAGAGTCTTATCTGATCTCCGCACGTCGGATCTTACGTCCCGTGTCTGACGAGCGTGTTCTTGCATCGGCACTAACGTGGGTGTAGCACATGAACTTCCTTAGTACAGTCGTACTCACAGCAGCCTGATCATCAGCGACGAGGTCTGACTGCATCTGATCCTCAGCACTCGCCTCGTGCGCCATCATGGCACTCTCACTATCGAGCCTCCTCCTTCCGCTCTCCCTACTACTATCAGTCGCTACCTGCGCGACCGTCACATATGACTTCGACATAGCATGGACTTATGCGAACCCCGATGGGCAGGAAACGCGCCCGGTTATTGGAATCAACGGCCAATGGCCTCTACCACCCATCGTAGTCACCAAAGGCGATCAGGTTATCGTCAACGCAAAGAACTCTCTAGGAAATGAGTCGACGAGTCTGCACTTTCATGGCTTGTACATGAACGGAACTACGCACATGGATGGTCCTGTTGCTGTCACACAATGCGGGATTCCCCCAGGTAGCTCGTTTACATACAACTTCACCGTGAGTTGCGCAGTCTCTGGTGGACAGCCATAGCAGTCTTTAACCTAACTAGGTCGATCAACCCGGCACATATTGGTACCACAGCCATGAGCGCGGCCAATACCCAGATGGTCTTCGTGGCCCTCTCATTGTGCATGACCCCGAAGACCCATTCAAAGATCTCTACGACGAAGAAGTCGTCATAACACTTTCTGATTGGTACCACAATCTCATGCACAATCTCTTGGGCGAATTCATCAACATCGCCAATCCTTCCGGCGCGGAGCCCGTACCTCAAGCCGCATTGCTCAATGACACTCAAAACTTGACTGTCGCCATTCAACCAGGAAAGACGTACCTCTTCCGCTTGGTCAACATGGGTGCCTTCGCTGCCCAGTACGTCTGGTTCGAGGATCATACCATGCGCGTTGTCGAGGTCGATGGCGTGTACACGGAACCCATGGAGGCAGATATGATCTACCTGACCGCAGCTCAGCGGTATAGTGTTCTCGTCACTGCCAAGAACAACACCAATTCCAACTTCGCCTTTGTAGGAAGCATGGACCAAGACTTGTTCGATGCTATACCCGATGGGCTGAATCCCAATGTCACGGGATGGCTTGTCTACGATGATAAAAAGGATATGCCTGCCGCGAAGGAGATATCGGCATTTGAGCCTTTTGATGATTTTACTTTGGTACCGCACGATAAGGAAGAGCTGTTTGATCATGTTGATCGTTCCATCACGCTGGACTTGAAGATGGACAATCTCGACGATGGGGCAAATTAGTAAGTCTACCGATCTACTATGCCACACGTGCGCTTGTATAGTTTGTAGCTAACATACGCCAGTGCGTTCTTCAACGACGTGACCTACGTCAGCCCCAAGGTACCCACCTTGTACACCGTCCTGTCCACCGGGCCCAACGCAACCAATCCCACCATTTACGGCAGCAACACAAACGCGTTCGTACTTGCTCAGAACGAAGTTGTGGAGATCGTGCTAAATAATGATGACCCTGGAAAGTGCGTATACCGCTCTAATGTGCCCATCATTCTCTCTTCATGCCATTTTCGAACTGAAGATGATGCATTCATACTAACAACTAATCCTAGACACCCCTTCCACCTCCACGGCCACGCCTTCCAAGTCGTAACCCGCAGCGACGACGACGCAGGCTTCTACAACCCCACCAACACAACAACACCCCCTTCCACACCCATGCGACGCGACACCGTCCTCGTCCGACCAAACGGACACATCGTGCTACGTTTCCGATCCGATAACCCCGGTAAGTCACTCACTCCCACGCACCACCAAGACCAACATTCCCATCACAACGTTATCTCTGCACGATCCTATATGCGTTCACCTACTGACATCCATCCCAAGGCGTCTGGCTCTTCCACTGCCACATAGAATGGCACGTAGCCTCCGGGCTAACCGCCACAATGATCGAAGCCCCGCTCGCCGTCCAAGCCCAGCTCTCCCCTTCCTCCTCAAACGCTATCCCGCAATCGCACTGGGACGTGTGTGAAACGGGGCATGTGCCCACGCAGGGTAATGCAGCGGGAAACACGGTCGATTACGAGGACTTGCGGGGTGAGAATAGGAGTCCGGGGCGGTTACCGGAGGGATTCACGGCGAGGGGGATTGTGGCGTTGGTGTTTAGTTGTTTGAGTGCGTTTGGCGGGATGGGCGTGATTGGGTGGTATGGGTTGAAGCCTATTTAGGGGTGAGGAGGGAGGGGTGGGGAGGGGTGGGATGAAAGTGGATTTGATGGATCTATGATACCAAACAGATGGGTGTGGATATGATAGCTAGTATGCTTTTAGCTTGAACATGTTGTAGTGTAACGAAGTCTCACTGACGCGACATCCTCTCATACAGCGTTAATGGATGATACTCAGGGAAGTAAGTGAGCAATTGAGTCTGTTTTTGATGATACTCCGGTGAGTAACATCCAAATACAGACTCAATTGCTCACTTCCTTCCCTAATTATTATCTACTACCCTATATCACCACCTCTGTATGAAACCTCATACAGCGTTAATGGATGATAATCAGAGAAGTAAGTGAGCAATACAGTTTCTCCTCCAAAGTTTCATATCAGAATGAAGCTTTACAGGAGAAACTGTATTGCTCACTCACTTCCCTGATTACCACCCATTACCCTATATCACCTCCCCTGCACCACACACTCACTCATCCCAATAATAACTCCACATATCCGTTCCCATAAAATCATCCGCATAACTCCTCCCCTTGCTCCCCGCAGCCGCCCCCGCAGCAACAATCAACGGCAAAAAGTGCTCCGCGCCACCCCGCGGATGCATAGTATAAGCGCCGGGCCACTTCCTCCAATGCTCAAACTTGCGTTCCCTCTCCTGTTCACTCTCCGTCATAGCCGCATCCGTAACAGCACCACTCCACTCCTTGTTCAGCGCTTTGAACTCTGGGTTCCGTGACGTGCCATCGAACATCAAGCGTAGGTTATGGAATGTAGCGAAGCCGCTGCCGATGATGGCGATGTTTTGGGTGCGGAGCGAGGAGAGGGCGCGGCCGATGGCGTAGGATTGGGTTGGGGACTCGGAGGAGAGGACTGAGAGTTGGATTATGGGGATAGCGGCGGTGGGATCGATGAGTTTCATCGGGACGAAGACGCCATGGTCCCATGCTGTGATGGTGTTGTTAGTCACTGGGGGGAAAGAGAAGGTTGAGGCAAACGTACGTCTCTTGTCGTCATTCTCACACTCGATCCCGGCGTCTTTGAGGGCTTGTGCTACTTGCTCTGCGACTTCAGGACTGCCTGGCGCGTCATGTTTGATCTCGTAGGACTCTGGTGGGAAGCCGTAGTAATCGTAGAGGAGTTCGTGTTTCGAGCCGCTGGATACGGTCACTTTGCTCGTGCTCCAATGCGCCGTTACCAACACAATCGCTTTCGGCGCTTCAGGCGTCCCCAGTTTGAGTATCTTGGGTACCTTTGTCTTGAGCGACTTGGTGATGGCGGCGTGCGATGGGTCGCCGAGTAAGGGCATGGGCCCGCCGCCGTGCGAAAGCGAGATGACGGGTGCGAGACGCGTCATGTTGGTGCTGTAGGACGAGATTGGGAATTGCTGGATGCCTTGGAGGGGATTGAAGGTCGTGTTGCTGGAGGAGAGATCCGCGGATGTGGTTCGTTGGAGGCCGAAGATGGTTGCGAAGAATGATGAGGTGCGCGTGAATCTCATGTTACTGGCAGCTGTAGGGACTGAATGCGGCATATATGCATGCTCAGGAGGGCAGGATGCATCGTCGGTCTCGGCATTTGAGTTGTCATCGCACGAGTCGTGGGCGTGGATGGCATGTTGAAGGTTTGTAAGATGGGGTTGAGAGCGCGGAATTTTGCCGTCACACATCTCAGGGCAGCTGGTCTGTGTGCCTGATTACGTGTACATGTCAACGCTAGGACGCGACAAGTCGCGACACGATTTACAATACAAAAGCACGAAGGGACCCGCCATCTACGTACTAATATCCACGTCTATATATGGTATGGAAAGCGAATGGCACAAAGTTCATACCCGAAATCGGCAGTACATCCATCACGGCACGTTCACGAATGCACAGAACCTTGGAAATAGAATGTATCATCGTTGATTCGACTACGCGAAGAGTGCGTGCCATACCCAACATAAGTCGTCAAAAGCCCTCATAGCCTTAACACCGGGGTATCATCATCCTAATATCATGCCATACCATCCACCCAGAAACTCCTTTCGCCAACACACAATCCATCATATACCCAAAGGACACACAATGCTATCGTGCGCAACCCAGAACTTCCTGTTGATGTAAGAATACGGTCCCTCGATGAGTACAGTGACATGGCAATGCCTACCATTTGCGTGTGTACAACGTCAGGAACCAAGAGCGCCTGCAAGAAGTGATGAGCGTCTCTAGATGTCGTCTTCGATCTCGCCGCCTAACTCACTGTTAGTATTGTTCAACCATGTCTCAAGGTTTTTGAGGTAGGAATACTCACCGAGACCGTCGCCGCCATCGGCGGAGTCCTCGGCGGACTTGTCCTTGACGACCTCTTCCTCCTCAGGAGTAGGCTCCTTCTTAGCAGCCTTCTTTGGGGCGTTCGGGCCCTTGACAGGAACGCGCTTCTTGGTAGGTGCCTTCTTCTCTTTCTTAGCAGCGGGGGCCTTCTTCTTGGAGTCGGACTTCTCGCCCTCAGACTTGTCAGCAGCTGAGGCAGGAGCAAGGTCCTTGGCGTTATCTTCGGCATCTTCTTCGGGGGCCTCGTCAGCAGCTTTGCGCTTCTTGGTGACCTTGGCGGTGGCGGCAGGCTTGGGATCACCACCGGTCGAAGCAGGAGCGGCGACACCGGCTTGTCCCAAGAAGGCGGCGAACGAAGGATGGGCCTCGAGAGCCTTCTTCTTGACCGGGGGCCCTGCATGATGGTGTATCTCATTAGCGCAGTTCATATGCTGCTGATGTTATATGACTTACACATCTTCTTGAGAGAGCCAGCGGTGTTGCCCGTAAGCGTGGCCATCACATCGTAGTCGAACTTTTCAGGTTAGTCCACAATAAATGCTATTCGTAATGTGACATACCTTGTCCGGAGCGGTAGAGCTCAGGAAAGCCGCGGCCAGCAGCTTAGTCTCCTTGTCCAGGAAACCGGAGAGCAGAGCCTCACCCGCAACGACCTCTTTCTTGGGAGGCATCTTGATGATGTAGATGCAAGTGTTTTCGATTGAAGAAGAAAGAAGTAAGTTGCAAAGCTGGAACAGAGAATGAAGGCGAGGGAAGTTGTAGGTAAAGAGAAGGAAGAAGGAAAGTTGTTGTGAGGGAATAAATGTGGGGTTGTTATTGTGTCTCGTGGAAGAAGACGCAGTGAAGTCGGAATTCGCGCAACGTGCAAACGGGCAATTACCTCTAGGCTGTCATATTCGAGTTCCGACGCTCTCATTCGTCGAAGGATTGTCCTCCCACTGCTATTACCTGTTCGAGGTGAGGAAAAATATGGTAGTGACGGGCAACATCAAAGTCATGTGTAGACCGCTTCGCATGGGCATGCTACGGTGACTATGATTAGGCACCCTCCAACACCAAAACATAGCCGGAAGGCACTCAGTATGTTCGATCTAATCAGTCCATTCAAGGCAAAGTGTATACCTTCAGGATGTGTCAAAAATAGTCACAGTATTGCTACACCATATTGACATAAGAAACATGCCGCCACAGCGGGGACCTTGTAGACATTGGCATAATGAGTCTGAGACGAATGGTATGAACATTTGTTACTGATGCTTTTGTGAAGAGAAGAAAGAATAGTAAGCATACTGAGATGGATGTTGAGTACCTTTGTATATCTAAAGGCTTGTTGTGATGGAAAGAGAAGTTCAAGTGATGAACGGTGGGTAGCAGACTAGAATCCTATAGATTACACAATCAGATACTTGTTAGATTTGTCAGAATGCCCATTTGACGCGTGTTCTGGGCTTCTCATTTCCACATGTACTCGTCGGCTGTAGAGTTCACGATCCGAACAAAATGAAGCCGAGCGAGGGTTCCTTGGCCTGACATCGTCTACCACTAGGGCCATAGCAGCGACGGGATATCTATCCTTCCGAGGCGAACGCAGCACCAAAGCGACGGGAAGCAATATCAACAATCAAGCAACGGACCGACCAACTCAGCAGAACCGGGGATCGCGATGCGGGCATGATACGACGTCGCCTCTGGGCCCCACTTTCCGATGGAGCACACGCAGGCGGCACACGAATCGGGACTGTTGGCGAGCTGCAGGTGTGCAGCCGTTGCCAAGGTCTTGAGTCGACGTGTTGATATCTCGGAGCGGCGCAATTGAGGTTGAGCAATTCGGCAAGGAGGCTGCAATAATCGGATGACAGGCGTAACGTTGCGGTGGGGTGTCTGGTAGCACTACGGTGGCGCTTGAAGCGCTGGCTACGGCATGGTGGTTTACAGCGGGATGGTGGCTGGGGTAATGGAAGGAGTAAGCGACATGCAGTCGGTTGGCAACGCTAGCAGTATGGCCGAATAGCCCTGAACATGAGTAAAGCGCCGGTCAGGAGGCGGTGCAGGATCTGGAATACGAGGTGGTGAAGCGGATGAAGTGGTTAAGAGACAGCTGTTGCAGGCGAAGGGAAGTGGAGGCTCAACCGGTCAGTGCAGAGGTGCATGGCTAGGCCCGTGGTGCAAAGAGCGGTAGCCGGGCAGGCCGCAGCTTGGGTGGCATTTCTGGCGTCTATGGGCGGTCGCTGGCTGCGGTGCATGACGGTTTCGGTTCGAATGCGCGTCTAGACATGATCTGCGACCAGCGCTGAGCGGGCCGTGCCAGGAACAGGCGCAATTTTTGTGCGCACTGCCTGTCGGCGCCCGCGTCCTCGACCTGCGACGACGGGACCGTCGACGTTAGCCTCCCATTGCTATATTTCTTACTTGGCTGCTATTTCCCCTTCCTTCCTGGGTGGCTTTCTTTTTTTGTATAACACGCCTCATCGCACCTGCCGATCTGTCCATCGCTCCTTCCTCCGTCGACAGCAGTGCCCCTCACCAGAGACATCCCCGCGGAGACATTCGCCAAACAACACCACGCTGCCGATCCATTCCTTCACACGCGTTGGCTATATATCGGCCCTTCTCAAACACACAAGCCAAAATCCGGCGGGCGTCCATCACCGATCGCCGTCATGTCTTCCCACCCGAGCCTCACCAGCACGTACCGTGCGCGCGCCTCACTACCCACGACCGGGCCCTTGGCTTCGTACTTCCTGAGCCTGATATCCGTCAAGCAGACCAACCTCTGCCTCTCCGCCGATGTCGAGACGTCGGCCGAACTCCTCCAACTGGCCGAAGATGTCGGTGACTCAATCTGTGTGCTCAAGACGCACTGCGACATTGTCGTCGACTGGTCGGACAGGACAGCACAGGCACTGAGAGAGATTGCCAAGCGGAAATGGTTCCTCATCTTCGAAGACCGAAAGTTTGCGGACATTGGTGGTATGTCATGTTGGCTCGTAGGATATTCACTGGCGGGGCATTCTCTAACACAGCATAGAAACCGTACAGAAGCAGTACACTTCTGGACACCACCGCATCGCGCTCTGGGCCGAGATCACCAACGCGCATGTCATTCCTGGCCCAGCCATCGTCACCGCGCTCGAGAAGGCTGCCGATGCCACCATCGCCAAGTACAACACGTCCGTAAACACCGAAATCTCTGCCACACGGCAAATCAATGGCCTCGACGACGATGATGACGAAGAGGACGATCAATTCGTACAACAACAACAAAACTCGGCGATTGAGTCACCCATCGAGATGGAGGGCGAGGAGAGGCGGCTGAGCATCAAGGCTGCCGACCGCAAGCACAGCGTCGTCAGCGTGACAACCTCGATATCCATGCGCACAGAAAGCATATCGCCGCGTCCAGAGCCAAATACCAATGGAGAGGAAGTCTTCAACTTGGACGTAGCAACAGAGCTCATCCGACTTGGTCCACCACCGTTCCTCCGGTCGCTTCTGTTGCTTGCCGAGATGAGCTCCGAGGGCCACCTCATGACACCCGAATACCAGAAGCGGACCGTCGAGATCGCGCGCAGCCGTCCCGAGTTTGTCATGGGCTTCATTGCGCAACGAAGCTTGAACACTGAGCCAGAGGACAACTTCATTACCATGACACCGGGCTGCCAGCTCCCACCGCCAGGCCAGGAAGGCAAGAAGCTGGGCGATGCTCTAGGCCAACAATACAACACTCCTCGCAAGCTGATCTTCGAGCAAGGCTGCGACGTCATCATTGTCGGGCGAGGCATCGTGCGCGCACAAGACCGCAAGGCGGAGGCAGAACGATACAGAAAAGCTGCTTGGTCAGCCTACGAAGAAAGGATCAAGAAGGCGTAGATGACTTGTCTACGCGCTATCTACTATAGCTGATATATACCCCTGCGATTCGCAGTTAGCATGCTGCCTGGAGCATTTGTGTACTTTGGTGCCTCTTCAACTGCAGAAACATCAGATACAGGACATTTTGGGGGCGTTGGAGGTCATTTCCGCATACATGAAAACGCATATCACGGCGTTACGATTGCTGGCTCACGTATGAGAATACAACACCACCGTGCATGCACGCGGCACTGGACTACGATTTATGCTCCCAATATGACCCAGATAACCCGTTGTGCTGCCACGATCCATAAGCATGGCTTGTTGGCCAATAGTACTACTAAACGAAAAGTTCATGCTGTTTCTGGCAATGCTGCATGCCATAGCCCCATCCTCATGTATTCCAGTTCGAGTAACCTGATAAATTTACAGTGAGTTTACGAGTGCGTATCTCCAAAAACACGCCTACGTCGCGTGGGTCCAGGCGCGCGGAGATGTGTGGGGAAAGAGTCGGAGCTCGGTCCTAACGCCAAAAAGTTCGCGACTCTTCTCTCGCATGCGCATGCGACAGTTTCCATGTCACTCTACTACGAAGCCGCGGCGGTCCTCGCAAACACCGAGAACACGGGCGGGTCTCTGAAGTCGCGCATATACGGCAAGAAAGATTTGAAGAGCACACCAGGCCAATTGTTTGCGCTCATTGCGGAAACGTCAAAATGGTCCATCGTGCTCAAGGATGTGATTGAGAAGACCAAATTGCTTGCAGAGGAGAGGAAGGTGGGTGGTCTACTGGCAATATCCTGTGTCGCATCCTGATGTTAATTTGTTTTGAACAGCTTACGCCAATCCTCGCTCTCCTTCTTACCCACGATCTGCTGCTCGCGAAGAACGGTGTTGCTGCAGCCGCCAACCATGTCCTGAAGCTCGCCATCACGAGACACAAAGCCCGTCTGAGCGCCGAGCTTACGAAAGCCCGCATACGGCACGGATACGCGACCATAGAGGCGTTTAGGGAGGCTGTGAATGATGGCGAGCTTGAGAAGGATGAGGGTGATGCACCCAAGAGCCGCCATCCTCGCTGGGTGCGCATCAATACCGTCAAGACGACGTTGCAGCAACAGCTATCGACCACATTTGCCGGCTTTGTCAAGACTGAAGATCTGAGCGAAGTTCTTTCTGCGCCTAAGAAGTCGAAGATATACTACGAAGACCCCAACATACCGAACCTGCTCGCGCTACCCTCCAAGATCGATCTGAGTAGGTCAATCGCGTATACAAAGGGTCAGATTATATTCCAGGACAAGGCTTCGTGCTTCCCTGCCTATCTGCTAGACCCGCAGCCTGACGATGGCGATGTTATCGATGCCACAGCAGCGCCGGGCAACAAGACAACACATCTGGCAGCTATCGTATCTGACCGGAGGCGACCGGGTGAAGAGCAGAAGGTTATTGCATTCGAGCGCGATAAGGGTAGAACCTTGACGTTGCAGAAGATGGTTAAGCTCGCATCAGCGGACAGCATCGTTCAGGTCAAGGGTAGTAGCGACTTTATCGCTGCGAAGCCTGGATCCGACGAGTATGCCAATGTCGGTGCTATACTGCTCGACCCCAGTTGCTCTGGCACTGGCATAGTTGGACGTGACGATGCAATCAAGATGCATCTACCAGAATCACCAAACAGTCGCCCGGCGCCGGTAAAGCCTGAAAAGGGCAAGAAGCGGAAGAGAGACGACGAGCCTAAGGAAGCTGACCCTTCAGCGACGCTTGACTTGGACATGGATGAGTCCACACCTGAAGAGACACCCATGCACGGCAAGCT